AGGCCCACCTCTCCAGCTTGTCCAGGTCCCTCTGGATGACATCTCATCCTCCTGGCATGTCAACGGCACCACTCAGCTTGGTGTCATCTGCAAACTTGCTGAGGGTGCACTCGATCCCACTGTCTATGTCATTGATAAAGATGTTAGATAACACCGGTCCCAGTACGGACCCTGAGGGACTCCACTTATCACTGGTCTCCATGTGGATATCGAGCCATTGACCACGACCCTCTGGATGTGACTATCCAGCCAATTCCTTATCCAACAAACAGTCCACCCAACAAACCCATATCTCTCCAATTTAGAGAGAAGGATGTTGTGGGGGACTGTGTTGAAGGCTTTACAGAAATCCAAGTAGATGACATCCATTGCTTTTCCCTTGTGCACTGATGCAGTCACTCCTTCATAGAAAGCCACTAGGTTGGTCAGGCAGGACTTGCCCTTGGTCTTCATGCCAGAGCTTGAATCTGAGTCTTAGCGGGGCTTGGGGCAATTGTTGAAATCTCTAGCTGTTTGTTTTCAGTGCACCTTGCTGAGTGACAGATGAAAAGCTGAACCACCCTGGCAAGTCTTGTATCGTGCTTTGCAGATCTTGGACTTGACTTCTGTGCTCTTCAGCTGCATGTAGGCTTCAGTTCATACTCAAACAGATGGACTATTTCCTTTTCATTAGCTTATCCCTTCGGTTTTGATTGCTGACAGATCTGGGACTACATTCATGACCAGCTTGTAGAAATTCCTGTTGAAAGTAATGGTGGGATAGAGTAACTTAAGACACTGTGTAGTTCTCTTATTTCTAAGTGATTCTAATAGCTACAAATCAAGTTACCCACAGTGCTGTTCGCTGGTACTTATTGAATTGTTGCCTGCTAGTGGCCAGGCTAAGTTGATTATGTGTCTGGAGACTGCCGCTTCCCTTACACACATTTTATCAAGGAAAAGCTCTGCTAAAGGTTCAGAGGTAGGCATGCGTTATTTTTCATGCAGGGTCATCGTCTCTTTCCTCTTGCTCTCTTTGTTGGTATTCCTGGTGCAAAGCTGAGAGACATTTGTTGGCAGCCAGTGTCACAGCAGCAGGTGTTTGCGTGGTCAGGAAGCCAGTGCAGGGGCGTGAGTTCAGCATGTGCGTCCCTACTGGTCTTGGTTTAGCTGGTACTGACCAGCTTTGCTGAGAAGGTGCCACAGCACCCGCTGCAGCAGGCCTTGGGCGGGGTCTCCAGGAGCTAAAAGTACATAGTGGGGCAGTGAGCTTAGGTTAACCCCTGCACTGATATGTTTTTTTGTGAGACTCTCATCTCGGGTAGCTAGACTGCAGCTAGTTTGGTTTTGCCTGCAAGTGCTGCAGTCTTGTCTACAGTTGTGTTGCCCAATTCACCCCAAAAAATGTGCAAAAAATGCACATTTAGAACATGTGTGGAAATAACATCAAGGTGATTTATCTTACTTGATCAAACACAGCTTAAGTGAATTAAATAGCCTGTTTAATTTACGTATCAGGTTGCTCTTGCTAGAAGAATGCAGTCTGTGTTCACATGCCTGGTTTGTACTGTAGGATCAACAGAACATGTAGGTTGCCTGATACCAACGCAAGCATTTGTCAGTAATTTATTTTGTGTATGTTTTTCACTAGTCCATATTCCAGAAGGCATAAGAAGTCAAGCCATGATGATTTTTTGTTAACAATAGAAAACCAAGATATATCATTCTACCTAAAGACTACATTGTAATGTAAACAAGTGATATAAATACAAGTGGTGTAGTTTGTAGAATATAATAAAACCAGCATCTTGCCTGTTTTCTCCTTACTCCTAGTCAGTTATCTAAATGTCACCTGCTGGACCAATGCAGCTCAGAAAGACATCTGCATTGCTACCCTGCTTGTGAAGTGCAGCACTTAAGGCAATGTTGTTCAGTGTGCATGTATCACTTTTATTCACCTACCTTACACTTTGATTTCTTTCTGCTCTTCATTTAGTTTTGTTCCACTGGGATAGTACAGTAGAATAGTTTAACACTAGTACATTGTTGGTGGTTAGTCATTTCAGAGCCATATAACAATAAGGGTATTTAGTGAAAGGGAATCGTAGACAGATGAGATAACATTGCTCACCATTCTGAATTCTCAGCCTTGTACTGTGGTCATCAGCATTTTTCTGGACCATTTTCATTTTTAAAAATCAAAATTATACAGTATGAAGGCAGTTTCAGGATGAGGAATATATTGTTTGTACTTTCAAAATTGATATTAGAAGTTAATATTGTTGATATTTAGAGTATTTTTATGTTAATATAAGAATAAAATGTGTCCTTGCTCTCAGGAAAGATGCCATGAGGGTTAAAATTAAGCAAATTACAAGTATGTTGTTACATTTGGATGGATCTCTTATTTTGTCGTCTTTGTTTTACAATTTTCTCTTCTTAACTTAATCTTCTGGTCTCTAATCTATATATAAGGAATTGGCACTCTAAAAAAACAGAAAAATCAAATGGACTCTGAATTCTTAGCACCAAAGAACAATTACATATTGAATATAAAACTTAAAGGAGGGAAGAACCTGCAGAATTGGAGAAATAGATTGCAAAAGTCTTGTTGGCAGATTTTTGCACCACTGCACATAGTATATTTTTATTTCAGTCTAGTAACCAGCACATTAGAGCTTAACACTCTACAAGTTTCCAGGCATAGATTGTGCCAAAATACAATAAAATGTCTGAGATGGAGGATCAGGTCACAATAATGAAATAACCAGATGTGAAAATTGTATCGTCAGCCTGTCACTCTGCCTCTTTGAATCCTTTAATAGTTGTTTTTTTCCTGAACCAACCATAAATGCACTCAGTGGAAAGCTTTTCTTGAGCAAGTCTCTCCATTTCTCTTGAGCTAGTCTTCTTGACTTCTCATTCAAATCTTCTGCTTAATACTAGTTTTTAAAAACGCATTTGCTTTGTAATGCTTTGCAATAGCCTTTGCTTGGTTACCTTTTAACCTCTATGGTTGAATCTGTGGCAAGGCTATTATCTGCTGCTGTGCTGGGACTAGAGAGGCTACTGTATCCTTCTTGTTCTTTCCTTTAACACTTTGGGGGAAGTAATTTCATCTCTCTGTGCTTCAGGTTTCTTATCAGAAATGATCAGCAATTTTTTTATCTAGATTTTGATTTTTTTCTGTGAGGGTTTTCTTAGTGCATGGATTATATCTGAGGAAGTCTTTGCTAGGTTGCTAGTAAGACTGCTGTGAATAATTAACACAGATTCTAGTATCTCCTCTTTCAGGAACTCCAAATTATTTTGTTGCCATACTTTATAAAACTTGTTTGACATGAGAAAGTATGCCCTGCAGGATGAGGATGGTGTGTTATAATTTGTACTACAATTTTTATGGATTATGGAAAATGATTAAAAAATAATACTAAAAAATTGCACAATGTGTTTTGAATTTTTAATATTTTCTAAAGAGCTTTGCAAAAGACATGAAGTTAAATATTTGCAGTATAGCATGAAGATCAATATGTGTATTATAATCACTCCCAAATAGCATTAGATATAGATAACGTTTCTACTAAAACATGATTTATTAAAATGTTTTTGCCATAAGTGCTCTTGTTCTGTTTGGGGAAATAGGATAAACAACATGACCTCCTTTGTTTGCTTTTGAGATTCCCCCTCCCTTTTTCTTTTTCTTTTTTTTTTTTTCTTTTTCTTTTGATCCTTTCCAAAGAGCTGGAATTATGTCCTTCTGGACCCTGCTAAATCACCCTTGCCAGAGAGAGATTACTCAGAGGACTCATAAAAATATTTGCTGAGAGCAGATTTTAATATTTTAGCAATGATCCAGTTCATCTAAAATTGGTATTACCTCTACATGGTTGCATGTTATACTGGAGGATACTTGCCAGCCATGGGTAAACTCTGCTACTGGGAATGGGTAAAAGTTTGCTGTTGTCAATAGTAAATGTTTCCTGTGACTTGACCTTATATCCAAATTATTCTTTAGCTTGGAGGCATTTGGTCTATGATTTTGGTCCAGAGATACCTGTAGAAGTAAACAAAAGCAAATGTGTCTCAGGAGTAGAAAAAAACATTAGTCAAAGTCAAAATTAAACAACAGAATACTGAGGTTTTCAAAGATATGAAACTTGTACAACTCAACAGTAGACAATGGATCACATCCAGAAAATTAAAAGGAGAAGGCAACTCTTGGCAAAACATAAGTAGCGTTTTGGGGACCTCTGTACTATAAAAGATGATGTTGTGACATGGGAAATGATGCTTTTGTTGTTTGACTCAAAATTACATTTTGAAGAAGCGTTACTTAGCTGTGTATCCAATAAGTCCATCACTACTTGCCATTAAATAGGTAGAAAAAGATTTTTGGGGAGAGAAGCAAGAGCATTATGTAGCAATCAGAGGTCATGGAATGCTATACTCTAAACCATCCCTTACCTCTTCAGAGTATCACTCAGTTAATAGTCAGTAAGGGTTGGGAATCACACCAAAGAAAACAGTCACCCATCAAGCCAGTTTCTGTTGTTGTCTGTCTGGAAAGGTGCTCTGTCACAATTGTCAGAGAGGGGTTCCAAAAGTTATAATTGGGTAGTCATGCAGACAATACATATATGTTGCAAAAATGCAAAGGGTGAAATATTTTTTGAGTGAAATAATCTCATTAATTGTCTTAGAAGAGGTCCAGCACAGGTCTGGCAGAAACAGGTAAGAAATGCATGTAAAATTAGATGCTTCAACTTGTAATTGCCAGAAATTTCCTTTACTCTACTCCCAGGTCTGCAAAGTGATTATTTATTCTGTTCCCATAGGTACCTACCTACCTAATCTGAGAGAACTGAAGTTGAACAATAGCTTGCTTGTGTCTGTGAGGTAAGAAATGAATGATAACTGAAATCAACATAAAGAATAACAGCTCTCAATTGTACTTAAGTGATAAAATCTTCATTTGTGCTGCTTTCTATTTCTGCCATTTCCCCATGCGGTGATAACGGATTAGGTCATGAATATATGCTCCGCAGTCACATAAGTTTAAGGACAGGACCTGAGCTGGAATAAATCAGTGTAGCTGCAATGATGCCAATGAATTAGCCCCAGTCTGCCACCAGGGAAGTTTCTGTCATGCTGAAGTCCATGGAAATTTGTTGCAAATTTGAAGGAGCTAGAAATTTGCCTGTTATCTATGTCTAGGCACTTGGATTTCAGACTGTTTCAGCCTTTGGGCTTTTGTTGTGCACAGTAGCCTGTTCTATACAGGTCAGACCAGTTCCTCAGCTGATGAAAATCACTTTGGCTCTATTGAAGTCAATGAAGTTGGGTTTATGAGAGCTGCTATGAAGACTGCGTGTCCCTGGCTTGCTGAGCTCCATGAAAGCATCACATGTTTTGTCCCAGAGAACTGGGGAGTTGGCAGGTTGGGAAGGTAGAAGTGAGAATTGTTGCAAGGAGGAGGCAGAGCTGTCTTCTCTCTCCTGTGCCGACATCTGTATTACTCTTGGTAACTAATGCATAATGGAAATATACAGTTCATATCAGTAAAGGGCTGTGTAAAAGGCCATCTTTGTGTTAAACAGGACTGCTCTCTGGCTTTGTGTGGCTATCTGCTAAATTTTGGGGGAAAAAAATAGCTATTTTGCTAATTCTTGTTAAGGAAAACATGTTCCCTGATGGGAAACAGCAATAAATTCTTCTCGTCCCTGAAGTAGCTAATGAACTTCAGTTGTCACACTTCGATCTTATTTTCTCTTGTTCTGCTGATGAGATAAAGTATTTGCAGTCTAAATTTTTTTTTTCCACCTTCTCATCTGTAAAATGGAAAAGTGGTTATTCTACATTGCTGCAATTATTTTAATGGCAACCAACCATTGTCATAAGCATGAAATTGCTCCATTACTGCAATGGAGGAGTAAGTAGTGGGTGAAAAAAATTACATTTTTGGCAATATATAAAAACATTGTATTATTAAAAAAATTAAAAGAGTTCTTTTGTTTCATCAAAAATCCATATTCTCTTAAAATGTGTCCATGGAAAATGTTTTCACTAGTTCTGTTGGTATTGAATACAGAATGCATTTCAGGAAAACAAAACTGTTTAGTTTATTTGACTTAGCAGGATTTTGCACATCCCTTTGTATTCTGAGACTCTTAACTTCTGTCATGAAAAGTTTTGGCAAACCATTTTCTGTGACCTGACATCCTTGTGGTCCTTGATGCAGGTAACATTTGGTCTCAAGTTTTGATTTGATCAACTATAACGTAAATATGTTTTGGCTTGGATATCAAGTCTAATATTGTGACGCTTCCCAGGCACACAAACCCCAGTAAAAGCTACCCACTCCTCCTTTAAATAAGTGTGCTTTCTATGTGCTGGTTAAATGCAATTGTTGGGGAAAAGGTAAAGGAAGAATACAACTCTGTTAGCTCTCCCAGACCAGAAGTCAGGCAGTATAGTACAGCAGTAGCTTTCCTTTATTAATTCCCATCTTTGACAATCTGTCATTGATAAACACAGATCACTTAAGGGCACAGCCCATGCAAGCACAGCCTGGGTACTTGAACTTTATTTTTGGATGTCTGCATCATGTCAATTTAATGCCCATTAAAGCAACATTGCTGTCACAGCAGTAGGGATGTCTGCTATAGCTAATGTAACATAGCTGCTTCCATTCTAGCAGGCTGTTGCCATTTATTTAAAAATGTTTAGAAATCTTATTACTGAATTAAACTTGTTGATGTTTGCATTCTGTCCAAAAAGTGATTATTTTGTTGTATTTGACCAAACCCTTGCAACTGAAGTTTTTGAGGATGATAGAAAAAATGTTCTTCCTTCTCACTAAAAGTAATTCCCACAGACTTTCTCAGCCATAAGGTCAGAACCATTGTGGCTGTAATTTGAAAATGGGCAGCAGATAACAAGAAATTTCTTGTAAGGACAGACTGGAAGATTGGTTTGTTTACTGAAAAGAAGGTAAGGACAGAAAAGCAGGCAAAAGATAGAGGGTGTTTCTTATATACTTGGGATGTTAAAAGCAGACATTGTTTTCATGCTATATTACATGAAAAAAAATGTATTATGGTGAATCATTATGCATAAAAGACTGCCAGTGTATATGCATGAGTGGGTAATAAGATGGGAAACTTGCTTTTTGTCAGTTTATTTTTGTTTCATTCTGTCTCGCAGAGTAGAATTTCCTAATTATTTTAGGGTGAAATGGAATTAAAACATCTTTTTTCAGTTTGAAAATGGGGGAAAAACTCTTTTGATAGTAAACTGCATTTAGGGAGATGTCAAAATAAGGATTTCTGATCCTGACATTAGTTACTGGCTTTTTTTCTAAAATGTTTACTCCTGTCAACCTCACATAGGAACTTAAGTTGTGAGGATGCTGAGGTGTGTGTTGCCATTCGCTGTTCGATAGAAATCAAAGGAGGGATGTTCGGGCAGTGAGGAATCAAGGTACTCGTGTATTACAATTTTCTATGGGAGAGCAAGGCTTCCTAGGTCCATGAGTTTGGATATTGGCTTTTTCTGGTAGTTCCTGAAGGAGTTCTGATTCCTTTGATGGGGAATGTGGTTCATCTACTTTAGTTGTAAATTTGTGGTCCCTTCCCAACCCTCCTAAAGCTTGCATTACTTTTGAATACTTGAAGCTTTGAAAGGCTACATGTAAGTGCAGGATATCATTATCAACTATTTAATTTAATCCATAAGGAAAATATATCCAAGTTTATTTGCAGATAATCCATCTTGGCAGCTGAAAGATAACTTCTTTTTTGGCTCTTTCTGGGTTTTAGTTTTCTACTGGCCCTTTGCTAAAGGGGAACAGTTCTGGAAAATCCAGTTTACTATGGAAAGAAATTAGTTCAGATGTTGTTAATTTTCTAAATCGCACTAATTTTATGAGGTCCTTGTTTGGTGACCTTTGCCCATCTACTAACAGCTAAGAAATTTTAGATTTATGAACTGATAATTGAGGATGAAACATGGAGCCTATTCAGACGAGTGCCTATTTAAAACTGCCTTTTTTTTTTGTGATGACACACGGTCCTCATCTTTGTAATGTTTCCAGTAAAAGAACTATATTTCAAGGCCAATGAATTACTGCTTCTGCTTTGGCACGTAGCCTATGTATTTTTTATCAGATTGCTTTTATTCTCAATTCAGGGATGAATGAAAAGATCTGTTTAAAAATGTTAGATAGTTATCTTTATGAAAGGGCTTTTAAATCAGATAGGGGAATCTCAGGAACTGGTTCCCATAAGTTCATAGCAGAAGCTGTTTCACCAGCTGAAGTTCATTTCCTCCCTTTCAGGTCTACGCATTGTAGCCAGCAGAAGACTGGTCTTCTCCCAGGGCTACTTAAGCAACTGCTTGTAACAGAAAGAGGTTATTATATTTTAAGTCAGATAAAATGCAGAGACTGCAGAATGTAAGGACAAAAGTAAGCATGAGGGATATAGGGAAAAGAAAGCAGATTTCCTTCATCCAGGTAGAGCTGACTTTTCTTTGCTGCAGTCTGCATTGCATGCAGTTCTCAAATTGCTCTTGCCCTATTGCAGAAGAGTCCCCCAGAACAAGAGGACAGTAATGCTGGTCCATTTGGGTCAATAAAGTTGTCATGGGAGAGTGGAAATGAGACAGCTGTCCTGAAGGTTCAAATGAGCGAGATGCAGAGTACATTCAAATTTAACAATTCTTATGCTTTTATGAGTCTTAGGACAGATTTTTTTTTTTTTTTTTTTAATACCAGCTTCTGGGGACAAGACTGGCTACACAGCAATCTCTGTATTCACTTTTTGAAAAGTTTCAAGCCCTCTTGACTGGGAAAAAATGACTAAAAATGTGAGCCAAGTGATCTGAGTAAGCATTTTGTTGATCATTTCATGACTTTAAGAAACCAGAGCCAAACTAATAAAGAATTGAGGGCAAGGGCTTTAAACCAATGTTTAAAAATATTTTTGAGACCTGAATCAGGATCTTTAGGAATTTGAACTTAGTAATGTTACTCCTTGGTACTTATCCAACAAAGAGTTTAAACAAATGCTCACGTCTTAAAGTCACAAGAAGTTTGACTTCAGTGGAACTGCTTATAGGCTGAAAACTGAACACTAGTCCAAGCTGGATCTGGACCAAGTTACACCATCTTGTATAAGACTGAGCTGTGACACTGATCAGCCCAAAATTTGATGTGTTGCTGATAGTGTGTGTCTAGGCAACCACTACTTGCGGGATCATTTTCTCTCAAACAGAAGATATTTAGGGGCATCATTCCCCTAAATTTGTTTTTCCTTGTCATTTTTACTTATTTCTTTTCTTGCTCTTTTTTTTCTCCAGCTTGCTTTTTCTTCTGCCTGTCATTTCTAATTTTTTGCAATTACTGGATTACTATGTCTGATGCATGTAACATAGGTAGTAGACATAAATGAAACAAGTTTTGTGCAACAAGGATCAGCGTTGCTTTTATGATAGATACAATCCCAAAATATTTTCTGTAATCAAGTTATTTAGTTTGCATTAAAGATACAAATGTTTGTCAACAGATGATTTATTTGTATTACAGTAGTTGCTTACAGTGTTTAATGAGGGATCAGAGTGCTCTTGCTCTAGGTTGTACTTACACATGCAGTCAGAGAACCACTGCTCTGATTTCGTCTGGGTGAATCTCTTCATGTCCATATTTCAGTGCCCAGAGCATCACTATTTGCTTTGACATTTGCTTTTCTGGATGGGCAAAGCATTTGATTTCAAATGCAACCTAGTTTCCTTAGGAAGTGTTTCTGTTGTTTCTTTTGTGTAGCCAGCCTGAAAGTCCTTCAGCAGTTAAGGTTGCTATGAAGTCTATCTTAAGAACATGTTCTTTGAGGACTTTGGGT